AATTTCATACTTCATTTTATGGCATAAATGCCAAAGTTTCAGCGAGGATGGCAAGGAAAGAAGGCATATTTGGCTTATATAAGCGGCCATCAAATTATATGTTTTACAGTTCCATGTGGGTTCGTACATGTGGCTTCGTATTGCGGAGGTTCTCAAAGGTGCAAAAGAGGGAGCAAGCGTAATTATATACGACCTCCCACATCAGAACAAGGAAACGCCTTTTATACTCTAAAACTTGTGTATGTAGAGTGACTGCGGGGTGGTGAAATCAGGGCGGAAGGGGGGAAACCGTAGATGGGGAGCACTCCCAAGAACTACCTTTCATATGTAGCACTTTGGTCCAACGTTATCGTATTTTATGTGCAAGTGCTTCGTTGTCCTGCTACCAGGACCTCTATTTTTCGGTTTGCCATGCACACAGCCCCCGTTCCTAGCGCCCCCACAGGTCATGTAGTTTTGCAACATTTTCTGCACATTTGTGCAGTTTTTCATGTTCCATGCTCTCATGTGCACCAGCCAGGATATGAAAATTTTCCAAGCGCAATGAACGAGTGGAGTCCTGCGGACTGTGAGTGCGCGTGCGAAAGAGAGGCACGGCGCAGGAAGAGAGACAGACTGAGTGCATCTGTGTGCGCATTCAAGTTGGGAAAATTGTGCACTTACATTATCATAATGGAAATGCTTTTGACTTGAGTGACCAGGGTTGCCAGCGAGCAAATAGTTCGCAAATATAATTGAATACTATATCGGTCTTACTTCTTTCCTTCATTAATTGTGATTTACTAAAGTATAAAAACCTGCTTTGTCTAAAATTAATTAATGTTTTATTTTATTTTTCTATATCTATGTTTTGTATTTTCATTGTTAGAATCGCACATTACATTTGTGTATGCTTATACAATTATTGAAATTGCCTAACAGGAACTTAGGATTCAATTTTAATTGACAAACAATTTTATCTATTTAGCATAAAGTTCAATTATTTAACAGTTTTTTCCATTTACCTATGGAAACATTACTAGTTATCTTGTTTAAGATATGTTAAAAAATCCAATTAAAATCCTTTCATATGTGGGTTGGGAAAATAAACAGTATCTTACGGTCGGGTCCCGCCGACCCCATTACTCTCTCTATAAGGCTGGCAACCCTGGCTTAAGCACCTCTATCCTGCAACTCTGTACGTAAATGCAAGCGAAGCCAACTGTGCCATATTGCCCTGCACCTACCCGCCCCTTCATGGCGGTGGTATATACATACACCACCACCCCCTCTGGGCGCCCTAGGCAGCCATTGTATTCTGATTGTGCGCCTTATGGCCCAGGACTCCTTCAGGGCTCCTATATATACACGAGTGTATGTGTGTGTGTGCGAGCATGGAGAGATGGAAAAATATTATTTTTCATAAATTTTAAAATATACCATGGGCAGGCGGCAGCGCTGGGTGAGCGAGTGAGAGAGCGAGCCTTGGGTGTGTGCTTCTTTTGTCCTGCTCCATCCGTGTATAACGGTAAATGCCAGCCATACGTGGTTATATATTTGTACAATATACATATGTACACATCGAAGGCAAAGTAGAGGGAAATGTATGCAACATTTTACAATGCAAAAGCCATTTACTTGGGCAACGTAGGAAAGCCAAGGGAGATGGAAAACTCAGAGCCTCAGAGAGAAAGAGAAAAAGGACGTGTTAGTGCACGTGTGTGTGTGTGAGTGAGTATGAGAGTGTGGTTGTGCGGCAGTCAGCATATGAAAAATGAAAAGTCACAACTGCGAAACGGAAAATAAGAAAATAAGAAAAGAATACCGCTGAAATACAGCCTTAGGAAAGAAAAAAAATATTTCTCCTCTTTGTTTCCCTATATACAACAAATACCACCCGCAAGCACTTATATACACATAAACATCATGGGAAACTTTCAACTTTTATGTCGCCTCGTCCTCGCTGGGTAATGTAAATAAAAAGAGACAGGAAATGTTTGCGATATGTAAGAGCATACGACACCCAAAAAAAGGAAAAGTGCAAAATTCTAAAAAGTTTCCACAGAACGCGGGGAGTGTGGATGATGTGGCAGGAACCATAACTTAGGCACCCGTCAGCTTAGCTTTGTTGGTTGGTCCTTAGGTGCTCGCCCTTCAATATGAAAAATGAGCCAGGGAAGGCAGCTGAAATTTTGGGGCTGGGCGATGTTTTCAAGTTTTATGGGGCGTATACGGAATGTGGAGTAGCAAATGGAAAATGTAAAGGCAGAATTTCTGGGGTGGGTGCCTAAGTTTTAGAGCGTGTTCTGCATATAGTAACAATAATATTTTGTAACTCATCAAATTGTTTTGTTATTCAACAAAAATAAAAAATAGTAATATAGGCATTCAAAACACATGAATCATAGTTACGAAAAATAGACATCAACAACAACTATTTCTTTCCATATCACTATTTGTACTATTAATCAATTAATAAAATGTGACTTTCTTATATAAAAGTACTCTATAAGCCTGCAATATTATTTTTTAGCATACACTATTATTTTTTGTACAGGTTTTTCTTAATAGATGGACACAAAAGTGCTGTAAGTAGAATCTGTAATAAGTACCCTCGCATCAGTTTTATTGTTCCCCAACTTCTTTATTTCATAACTATCTTTTAACTGCCAAATAGTTACCCCGTGAATAGTTGGGCCACGCTGCCCAGAACCTACCACCACAAACTATACCATTTTCAGACGGAGCCCATCGATTAGTTGGATTTAAGCATCTCGAAACAGCGACAACTTAAATGCTTACAAAACGAGAGTAGTGGAGAAGAGGATGTAAAGGAGACTGCGGAGGAAACCAAAACACAAGCAGACGGGCAGACAAGTGAATAGAAGTGACAAACCAAAAATAAAAGGGCCAAGAAGGGAATTTCCTCGGCGCTAATCAATGAAATTAAAGTTGCGGCCAAGGCGAAATATCTTTAAGGACTCACTACTAAGGGGGCGGCATAACGAGGGGGAGTGGCACATATAGAATAGTGAGCGAAGCGAAGCGAGGCGAGGCGAGCTACTGCCAACTTTAATGAACGGAAATTAGCAGTCAAAAGGTAAAAGCCCTCTCGCTCTCTTTTATGCCCCCGCAGCATCTGGACGCCGCGGCGAATTCGCGCACATGCACACACAATGGCCAACGGCGAAAGAGAGAGAGAGAGCTCCCCACAAAGAGCGAGCATGCGCCACAAGAGAGCGCCAAAGCTTCAAGCCGATTGGCTGCCGGCTGCCCACTTTGAGTGAGTGTGGGTGTGTGGGAGAGAGCGCGCTCGTTGGATATATTTCCCCAAGATTTTCTGCCTTTCCCTCCGCACTTTCTCTCTCACGTTCTCTTTCTGTTCAGGCATAAACAAACCATTTTGAATAAAATCAACAGCTACAACTACGGCAGCCACTACGTTGTTGCAACAATGTGGATCCCAAGTTGTCGAGAAAAATCAACTGATTCTACACTCGGAAAAGTGTTATGTATTTGTTATAATATTATTTCGATTAAAGCTCAACAACTTTATAAGGCGTCCATTGTAAATATTTTCTTGGAAAAAAAGGGAAAAAGGTTATATTTGCGGTAAATTATAAAAAGGTGCCATTTTAAGCTACTAGAATTAAGGACATGTTTTTTTAAGTGTATGATTACTATAGTTGATGGTGGTGCTTCTTCTTACATTTGCTCAGCTAGTACTGCTCTTCTTCTAGCTGCTTTGGCCTGGTCAAGTTGCATTCAATTGCAGTTTTTCAGTTGCCACTCCGTTGGCCGTTTGTCGGTTGTCGTCCTCGCGACTTTTCTTGTTTATTTTTTCCCCCGACTTTTCAACTAGCTGTGTGTGCGTGACAGCAACAACAATAATCTGAGGACGCCTCTTGTAATTATTTTAATTTATGCGTTTATCGCTTTTTGCCTCCTGCCGCCGTTTCAGCGGATTCAGTTGGCTATCTTGCTGGATTTGCTTCTTTTTTTGCCTTGACATTCGCATTTTGACAGCACGGCGAATAATTCGCGGTTCTGCCATCTTTGCAATGCCAACTTTTTTATTTCGCTGATATTCCGACTTGTCAACGGGGCGTATGCGTAACGCGAGTCGTTCTGTGATTTCTGGCAAGTGCAATGCCGTCGGAACATTGTATTTTGAAAGGAATAAAATCTGTTTTGCCCTTAAAATCAATGGAGTATTCAAAGGTTTTCGCCCTCTGCTTTTGTTTCACAAATAGTTTTTTATTTCCGAAAAACAATATAAGTATAAAGAAATGTTTATTTGACGAAGAGTGTAATCTATTTATGATATCTCAGCAGATAAAACTAATTTTATTATTTGAGCCCAATACCATGCTAAATAGAACTTGAATGAATAAGAAAAAATGTATAATATTTTATTTTACAAACTCAATTACTCGGTAACTCGCCTTTCTCCTCCTCTATCCCATTTAAAAGGAAATTTTCCTGCCGCTCTAAACTACAAATCAACTTAGGAGCCCCCATATTATTTCTTCCCTCAGCGAACAGAAGCAGCGGCAGTCAATACATACATAATTCGGAATCCGATAAGAGCCACCCACCCATATATATATAGAACACACACACACACACACATGCAGAGCACCATATTCCACCCACACAATACAAGCTTTTCATTTTAAAACCTCCTGCAAAGAAAAAAAGAAGTAAGAGAAAGAAGAAAGAAAAACGAAGTCAAACGCCCCAAAACACCCACGCACCACCCCCTCCACCTGTTTTATGGCTCCCTCCCCCACCCCCCACAAACACACACACACACACGCACACTGGCACATTGCAGGCAGACCAATACACTGGCACACTCACACTCACTCACTCTCTCCAACATCTTCTATAAAAAAAAGTATTTTTTGTACTCGCTTGACATTTTGTGGATACGTCGGACGTCGTCGGAAGTCGTCGCGAACTTTGCTTCTTTTTGCTCTTTCTCTTTTCTTTAGTCTGATTTTTTTCCACTTTTTACTTTTTGCCCATATCTCCTTGCGCGTTTTTTTAAGTCAGTCGTTTGTCGGAAGTCAATCAAAAAGCGTGTCTCGGAGAATTGTCCCAAAAGACAGAGATCACCTCACCGCTTCACCTCACTTCACCTCGACGGCCCACAGAGCATAGAGAATGCAGCCAGGGCGTGAAGCTGTCGCGATTCTCGCTGGCAATTGCAATTTACAAAAGTGTGGCAAAATAAACAATTAAATTATAATTCGTGACAGGCGGCAGAAAATAGCGGAGGAAAAAGCAGCAAGGAGGTGCGCCATCTTCCAGCCCAAGTGAGTTTACCACTTTTTAGGACCCACTCAGTGTGTCAAGGAGCTTGTCTTGCAACGCCCACACTCGGTGGGATCGATGGATCAGCCAGATGGATGGGGCAGATGTGGCAGCAGAGAGGGGGGAACTGTTTCTTCTGGCTTGTCAGATGGCTAATCAGCTTTCCCAAGTGTCGGCGCGTATTTCTGCGTCCTTAATTGGCCATATGCGTTTGAGGGCCAACAAGTGTCCCGATATGGCGAACTGAGTCCGTCATAGAGATCTTGGTCGGAATATATATTTTAATTAGCACATGCGAGTATGCGATATATTATTTGATTTAAGGAAGAGCTTTTTCTAAATATTTGCCATTTCATAGTTTTCCCTTATCATCCTGGGATTTGGGTACACTATCTTCGATGTGGCACATATATTTTTATGGGCTTTTTACAGTGCCACTTCTGGCAATGATTCGATAATCACGACAAACCATTTCTCAACCGCAAGTCAGGCAAATCACATCATCGAACTTAGTTCCCTCGTATCTTTACAACCGAACTGTGTACACCCAATAGGAAATTATGAAAACACAAATTCCAAATTGAAGACAAACAATCGCTATGTTCGGTATTATACGATAGGCGATACGATTCCAATTCCAATTCGAGTAAGCAATTGTGTTTAATTTTAAAACAAGATAAAGTTAAACAAAAATAGCGAAAGCCCCGGTATCGTCGGCCCAATAAGGAATTACCGTGCTGAATTGCCGATTGGGAATTATTGAAAGTAGCACCGAGGAATAAGTGACTGCATTTAGTCGGCGTCTTTGATCTTACCGGTAGATGGGTAGATATATATATGGATTGCTGGCAATTGGTTGCTGACATGCAAAGAACATAATTTACCGACTGTATTGGCAAAATTGATAAACAATCTTCGTGTGGCACTTTGGTTGCGGCCAATTTGCCGTCGATACTGACAACTCAATTGATTTGTTTACAAGTGCCATTAATGTTAGTTGCCCCGACCCGCCTCCTTTTAGCCTCTATAGTTCATATACCCGTTCGGTGTTGTATGTAAATAACCATTTCCATAAACGCGATGCACTTTTCAGCGCCGTATCTTATCTGGGCGAGTTGACTTGTTGTTCGGGGCATTTGATCGTGGCGGTTGTAGTTTAATTTCCCATTTCTATTTCCTTTGATTTCATCGCCTTTTGCCGTGATTTTTCGACTCCCACCCACTCCTTATCTCATTTGACTTCAATTTGCTTTCAATTTACGACAATTTCGTTTCAAGCCACATTTGGTAAGTGTGCCCATTTCCATTCCATTCCATACTCCTATTTTGTTTGCATAATAATAATAGGTTTAGGTTTTAGTGCCTTTTATGGCGTCTACTGCTGTAAAGTTTTATACAACCACTTTTCACTTGTGGGAGCTGATTTGGCAGGCCTGGGAAATTTGAAAGAAATGTTTGCACTGCTCATGAACAAATTTAGGAGAGCAAACTTGTGAACTATTTAAATTGCGATGGGTACTTTTATGACAAGTTCGTTTAATGCTTAGTAACTTCTCCATTGGATGACGTACCCTCAAGTTCTCTTTTATCAAAATTCGAACTTGTAATCGCAGAAGGGGCAGACAAAGCATTACTCATGAGCCAGTTAATAACTAAACTAGTTAATCTCAGTTATAAAGTATGCAAACATCCGTTGGATTTGAAAGAAGTCCACTATTTCCACCTGCAAAGTGAAAAGTCACGTGTAGGAAAATGTGGATTGGCCAGTTACTTTAAGGGAAAATCAATTACTTCCGCTATCGAGTCGTTGAGATCACAGCGCTATATGCGCATATTTAATAACAGCTTTTTAAAGCGCACTTAACAGCAAATTAGGCTTTCAGCAGCAGAAGACACTTTTAATTACCAACCATTTGCAGGCAGCAGAGGAGGCAGGAATATATATCGCCAACGGTCCATGGGTCAATATCATAATCTGAGGCAGCAACCGGAGCGGCAAACAAGTCGCCACAGGCAGCAAGGAGCAGCTGAGTTGCCCATAAATCAAAGCGACGCAATTTGCTGCTGACGAACTGCAACGCAGCAGCAGCAACAAGAGCAACATCAGCAGCAGCCGCAACAACTATGCCATTACTACTGGCAACAACACTTGCCAACAATTCCCATCATCAACACTTGAGCACAACAGCAGCAGAGACAGCCGCAGCAGAGACAGCAGCAGCAGCAGCAACAGCAACAGCCAAAGCAGCAGCAACAGCAACAGCCAAAGCAGCAGCAACTGCAGCAGCAGCAGCAACCATGTTGCTGACTTCGCCGACAGCAGCAACTCATTGCCTTGCTGCAGCAACATCGGCAGCAGGTGTTAATGTTCAAATTACTGGCCAAGGCGTTTCGGCCACTCTCGTCGACGATCAACTGCAACTGCCGGCTAATTATGCCGCTAACGTTGGCCATTTGAATGGCTTTAACACTAAAGACAACTGCCCACCAGTTCCACCCACCAGCGAGCAGGCATTTGAGGGATTGCTGCGCCTGCCACAGATACAAGTCAAGCAGGAATTCATGGAGTCGCCTCCAGAGGGGCCCAGCTGCCATCCCATTAGCCACCAGCAAACACCAGCTAATTCAGGTGAGTTGACCTCTTCTCATGGGAATGGCATATATCATACGGCTAAGTAGCAATGCTTAGGTATTCAATGATTATAAAAACGTTTTAAATATTTTACACAACTTGCTAAAGTCCATACTAGACTATTAGTCGATGTATATAATTAATTGCAAATTATTTTCGTGAAAAGCTTATTTATTTGAAAATATTGTTAGTGAAGCAAGAAGTGTAGTATAGTCCATTACTTGCAGCACTTATGTATTTATGAAATCTAAAATATATTTTTTATATTCGACCGCTAATTTAATCATTATCAATTCGTTTGCCATAAGTTCGCCCACTTTGAGTGCTACCTAAGTCAAATATATTAAAATATTTCTTATTTTCAATCTTTATTTAAACAACTGTAATTTATCCACCTGGCAAACTTGTCTGAGCCCATAAAACCCCCTAAAAAGTTAACCCTTTTCAGCCTGCCGCCCAGTTTCCCCGCCCAAAAGCATCCACCCAAATGCATATGTGTATTTAAAAACCCGTTAAGTGAAAAATGAGGTATTTACAACGTGTTAACAAGAGCACGGCCATTTTTCATGGTCTGAAGAAGCGGGGGGGAAAAAAACTCGTGCCAAACGCATGCTTATGGGATTTTCAATTTTTTATGCATCGAAACAGATTTCATTTTTTATTGGCAAGGGTCGTCGTCATCTTGATAGAGCCAAGAAAAAGGATGCGACACAAGGGACCCAGAGCTACCCGGGCTAATATTGCAACAGAGTGTGGTGCCGTGCCACGAGTGCGAACATTTATGAAGATTGAAAGGGTTGTCAAACACTTCATCCGTCTTAAGGGAGCAGGACAAGGAGAACCACAAGGGGTTCAAGAGGGCGCCGCACATCCTGTTGCTGCTGCTTAACCCGAAAAAGGGGGTTGCAACATCTTGTTTTCTTTCGATTATTGAAATTGCCATTTTGCCGTTTGATGATCTCACTCGGGGGACTTGAAAACACTTCTCGTGACCTCAATTGTTATTTAAAGCCAGGCAAACCGAGACCCCAATTCGTCCAATACCCATTTAAATAGGCTCATTACCATTCATCTTTATATGTAAATCCATTTCCTCTGGTCCAGCTCGGAAATGCTCCCATAACATGCAAAACTCACAAAAAATCAAACCTCCTTAAGTGCGCAATTATCAAAAATTTAATGTAAAACACAGGGAAAAACGAATAAGCTCAACACGCGACCGGAAATTAAGGTCGATTTAGGCAAATGTAACTCACCGAAGTTGGTTTCTTTGATTAGATTTTCTGTTAGATATTCGTGATATTCATCCAGTCCCAAGATCGTTAGCATCTGAGGCTATCCATCACCCAGTCTGAATCCGAAGCAAGCCTCCCATTACGATTTGAACAATAATTTGCCATAAATGAGCCAACTCCACATAATGCCACATCTGCGGCGGATAAATGATGGGAAGTGGTCTGACTAGCTGGTAGATGCAATCCTAAGCTAGTGAATCCCATTCTGATACATTGGGAACTTGGAAAAGAAAGAAAGTTGCACAGCATTAAACATTCCCACTGCTTAGCCTCCTTTAAGCCGTTATTTCATTTAAATTTGAAGTAAAACTATCTTCAGCATGCTTATAAAAGGATGTTTTTCCTGGCTTCGAATCAAGCAAATGCTGCACACAAACATAGGCCTTATAAAACAATATAAGACGGCAGTTTCGGGCACGAATTTTCCATCAAGATCTTAGGAAGCAATACAAACATAGGCATAAGTGTATTCAAAATAAGTGCTGTGCATGCAGCAAGTGCCGGAAATGCAAGGAAAAAGAAAACATTCGGATGCATCCTCTTTCCCCAGTGGCTGCCACTGGGAACGGTGAGAACATGAGGTCCGGGTTAACAAAAGGGAAACGGCGTTAAGAACGCAAAGATTTCATTCAGAACGGCCTCGGATTTATCTCGCCAATCTCCGCCAGAACCGAGATGAACTGTCAGACGCTCAGATGCTCAGATGCTCAATGCATCGCCGCATGAATGAAAATAATTATGATAATTGCAACTGCCACGAGATCGGATGGGTTGCTCTACTGTCTACTAAAGGTATGTTATGTTTATGGGCTCCTCGGTTCCCCGACTAATTGTAGGATCACTGGCAGCGGGAACCGCAGCGACTGATGAATTCGATGGTTTCCAGTTGAGGAAAACCCAATAAATCCATTGTGCGCCTAATTATTGTCGAAATTCAAATTGAAATGGTTGGGTTACCTGCCTGGTTTCTCTCTACCTGTCTTACCTGCCCCATCATTTATCTTCCATCCTCCCGAGATGCGCGAAATTTGAATGCTCAACGACGGCACCTGATCTCTCTATAAACGCATCTCCATACGAGCTATTCCCTATGTATTCCCTAGCCACATACACGTATATCCACATAAAAAATGGGCTTTTCTTGTGTGGAAATTAGATCCTATTGGGCCCAGCGTGTGATTAGCGCGCCCCTTTGATCCACGCTGATGTGCGGCTGTCGGTTGCATTTGATTTATATTCAATTGAGGTTCTGTGAGACGGAAGGCAGACAGGTTCTGCCGCTCCAGCCGCAGCAATTAAATTCAAATCAAACATTTATTTAAATTTTATGCATCGGTTGGTGGTTGATTGAATTGCATTGAGCTGGGACTTTCCTGCAGCTACTGAAGATGAGTGCGATTCGAGATGGTTGGAATACAGTCTAATGGTTTACAAATAAAATTTAAACTTTATTAGAGCGAAGCAACTAATTTTCGAGCAGCATTTTTATGTTTGCTGTCGAACTTCTGTTTGACAACCCATATTGGAAATTGTACCTTTATTTGCTCTCTTTATCCGCCCAAAACAATTGGTTCACGTACTTCTGGCCGTTCTGAGCCCATTTGGAAGAAACCACACCGGAAAGGCGTAAATTAGGCAAGACCCGACTAATATTCCCCACCGAATTATGCATCATTAATCAATAAATGGTCGCATTTGGAGAGATGATGCCCAGCTGACGCCGTCACATCTTCACACCTTCCACAGGGAAGGTTCAAGGAATTGCCGCTGGAAAACCCTTGCAACAGATGTGGCTACGTGCAGCACTAATATCGTTTTAATCGCGTCAAATTAAAGGTTCAATGAACAAACAAGTCAACTCCACTCGAGAATTCCCATCACCCCAAGATCAATGTATGGTAAACAAAAATGTTGTGGCTGGGAAAGAGGAACACCACTGATCCAAAAAGGGAATTAAAAAGACGAGGTTGCCTCGTACCGCGTAAGGCGGCTAAGAAAATTAGATTTTTAATTAAAATAATTTCGTATGCAATTTAGATAATCGTTGGCGAAAAAAATAATACAGAACATCCAGCAGAAGCCACGGGCAGGCAGAATCCACGGCGATCCATGCGATCCAAATGCGATTTGTTTGGCTGCATTTTTGGCTGGCCCGCGTTTTTTGGAGCTGGCCATTCGGAGTTTCCAAGTTGAAGTTGGCAGTTGCCGGTTGGGGCGTTAACCCATGGAGGCGGACGCCGGTCGCGGCCAAATAAAATGAAGCACATTTTTTACACAAATCGAGAGGAGGCGGCAGCATCAGCAGCATCGGCAGCATCGGCAGCATCTGCAGCAGCAGGTTGCATCAAGATCCGCATGCACTTGCCCCGCTCCAAAGATGCTCCTCCTGGCGGCGGCTCCTTGTGGAGGAGCACCGCCACAGCTGAGGGTCAGAACGCTCACGCACCACCGGCAACAACAATTGCAAAATATTTAAATTGATCATCTCCATTTAATAAACCTACGGGTTCAATGGTTGCAGCTTGCCAGAGGTGGCAGCGTGAGCTAACTTGAAATAAGACCAAGTCCAGAACTAAAATTTGTTTCTTCATCAGCGCTTTACGATGCGAAGAGAAAGCTAGAGATCAAAAATAGTAATTTAATAATAATAATTACTATTTATTCAATATACCAAATCAATATAGAATGACTCTTTGCAACAGCAAGCAATTTATTATAGCATCTTGTGCTCTACTGCAAAACGGCTAATAACATTTTTAGTTGGTTTTGAAATCAGTTACCGCTTTTTATTAAAGTCTCCAATATATGATATGCGACTCACGATCTTCGCACGCTGCCACATCCAGTGCTTCTGCCTTTTTGCTTCCTGCTAAGCTGGGGAAAAGTTCTTAACTTAATTTCGCAACGATTTTCATAATTCACCATGAACACCCGACTTGGCAGCTAGTGCACCGATGGATTCCTGCCGATCCTAGTCCCTGCCCCCCCGAAACCCCACCCCAGTGCAACTGTTTTGGTAGTTTCTACCTGGCTGTTGGCCCGGCTAAGCTTAACTCTTAACTTGGCCTGCGACGACGCCCCTTTCGTTCAATTTCGGCTGCGATGGTGGAGGCAGATGGAGATGGTGGCCAGGACGAGGACGAGGATGAGGAAGAGGATGGCAAGGGGTGATGGCTGCGGGTTGGATGAGGCATTGTTGGCTAAGCGGCGGAAGCAGGCTGCGTGGCGTAGGGGGCATTCTGCATGTAATTATGGAAACATGGTTTTGGCCAGTTGCTCGCACAGGTCGCAGTGTCACAGGGTTGCCAAGTTAGCGTGTAAAATCCGCTCATTGCAGTCTTCTGTAATGTGCCGCTTTCTTCTTGGCAGGACTATTAAACGAACTTCTTTTAAATTGCACATTTTTGTATCTTTCAATACCTGGCAACCCTTTTAGCTCGGCCATATTTCCCACTATAGGCCCAATCCCGTACAGCACCCACCCAGTGTGGACGCCACCCCCTCTGCCCGCCAAGTGCTATCCACAGCAAGTTGATTTTTTATTACAACGACTACGCCTTTCGAATTACTAGCGACAAGCCCTCTTTGAAATGGTTTACATAAACGGAATTAATGCGATCCAGGCGGGGGATCTAGATGGTCGATGGTCGAGAAGTGGCGGCGGTAGGGGGAAGGGGGGCGTAGACCCAAGAACCTGTGCCA